GCCTGTTACGATGACCCTACTCAACGCGTCAACTGGAAACAATGCGTGTGGAGAGCGCAATCAGACATAGACAGTGGTAATATCAAGATGGGGAGAATAGAATTCAAACCTAGAGGAGACAAATATCATGTTTCCACCATTGTAGTTAGTCACGCAGTATTGTTTAAGATCTACAGCTCCACTCTGTGTTTAATCACGATTCATGCCTATCAGATAGTTTACTTTTAGTTTTTAGAGTACCTTCCACCCCTAGGTGATTGGAGGCCTCCTATTAAAATATTGATTTAATATATTATTATTGCTATTAATTATAATGCAACTAAAGCATAAAGGTTTACTTTTTTGGTAAGGAATTCTATACCCTACTTGGAAATTTTTTTTTTCTTTTTTTTTTGGAAAAAAAAGGAGAAAATAACTAATTTAACTTTAAAAAATGCGTGGTTACCCCTACATTTTATGTTAGGAAATGGAAGTGGCAAGTGATTAGTTTCTGGTTACCAAAAGCAGTTTTTATGTTACCATTTACCTTGAAGTTTAAAGATCTTTATGAATGTGTTTGCTTTTCTGTGTGTAAAGGCAAATTCTGAGGAGATCTGTTAAGAATTATCTTTTCCTTGTTGTTCAGCAAAAACGATGACGTCAGCATATTTGTTGAGATTCAAGGCCTATTTTCTCGGAAAAATGCATGGCTACCCCCAGTTTTCTTCGTGGAGTCCAATAGCCCTTGCTAAGATCTATTTTGTTTCCCATATGGTCCTTATCTTGTATTAAATAGGCACCGTCCTTAATTGACTTGATCTTGCTGACGATAACAGTGCCCCTTGTAAGAAACAGATACTAGAACGAGAAGAAAAAGTTTAAGGCCATTTACGTCCAGATGTAAAATTCTATGGCGGGTTGATGGTTTTAAAAATTAAAGGCTTATGGATAAAAATTCTTGGATTGTATCTGGCACACAAATCCTTTAAATTTATCAACTTTCAAACTGCCACAAATTTCACACTTGAATATAGGTGGTCTTAAAACTGGAAATCGCACGATTGAATTAGCTTTGTTTAAGCAAGCAACCGCGAACGATGATCCTGCTGCTGTACGTTGAGTCACTTAAAAGTGATCTTTATCTTTAATCTTTAATAAGTATACTCTTGAATCAGTGGAACTATACTAGGAGTTGAAAATAACATAATAAAAGCACATAATAAATAATTACAATATGTATATATACAGTAAAAATTATAAGTTAGTAAAAGATAAAATAAAATAGAT